GATGATGTTCTTAGAATGACAGATATTGGAAAACAACAGTCTTAGTTTTACTGGATTATACAAAGGCATTCGACACCATTCTCATAAACTACTTTTGGCAATATTATCCTATACAGGTTTTTCACTGCGGACGCGGTTGCAATGATTCATAGCTATTTGTCTAATAGATATCAAATTGTTCATACGGAAAACAGGCAATCTACTAAAAATAAAATTCTGAGAGGTGTGCCTCAAGGAACCATATTGGGCCCATTACTTTTTAATATTTATGCAGCACAAGTTTCTAAGGAAGTGGTTACATCTAAAACATACTTTTACGCAGACGACACACAGTTAAGTTATTCATTCTATCCTAATGACATAGATAATGCTAATAAAGTCTTAAATAGTGATATAGATAAATTGGTTAAAGCTTCCAGTAAACATGACTTAATTATTAATCCTAATAAATCTTCAGTGTTAATTTTTGGTTATAAACGCCAAGAAGTACAAAGTAAATTAAAGATAATGGTTGACAATAAAGAATTAAGTGCTGTGTCGTGTGCTAAGAATCTGGGAGTTGAACGGGATGTGGATCTTAGATTTAAAAAACATACTGCAAAGCTACTTCAGAGAGCATATTGTAACCTTAAGATGCTTTACCCCCATCGTAAAATACTTGATATACCAACTAAAATAATATATATATAATTACCGATACATTAGTTCTTAGTCATTTTAATTATTGTGATGTATTGTATGGGCCTTGTTTAGACGTTAGAGATACCGCCAGAATAGAAAAAGTTCAGAAATCTTGTTTGCGTTATATATATGGTATTCGGAAATATGATAGAATATCTCATAAACTTAAGGAGACAAAATGGATGAACATTGCAACTAGGCGTAGACTGCACTCTCTGACTCTGTTCCATTCAATTATAATAAATAAAAGTCCACCTTACCTTTATGAAAAAATACAGTTTCGTACTGCTATTCACAATTTGAATTTGAGGCAGAGGGGTCTCATTTCACCCACTCCGCACCGATCTGCATTGTTTGAACGATCTTTTACATTTAATATTTATAGTATGTACAACAATCTAGATGTTAAGTGTAAGAACTGCTCTTTGGGTGAATTTAAGATAAAAGCAAGAAAAATACTTTCTGAATATTGATTAGGTTGCATGTTGCGTGTGGTGCTGTTTTTCTATCTGATTTTTGTGGGAAATTTTAGATTGCCTTTAGTTGTTTTGTTTTTATTATATTTAAATTATTATTTTTTATATTACTTTTTTTTAACTTTGAGGCTGGAACTTGATCAGCAACTGTTGTTTTTCCAGCCTTTTTGTAGTTTGTAAGATTATATTGTTGTTTTTTTTGTATGATAATGTTTTTTAAACTCATCTGTATAAATTTGTTGCATTGTATATATACAAACTTCAATAAATATATTATTATTATGTTCTTGAATCTCGGGCTTTCCGGTATTTAACGTAGTCGCGGACTTAAGTCAAGCGTCAACGCTTTTTACTGTGTATTTAAGACTTGTCGTGTAATATTACATGTGTGGAGGATAACTGTTTTTTGAATGGGTATATAAAGTTTTGGTGCAAGTTCAAGGCCTTTCAGACTATCATGTAATGATCTTGGGATCAGTCCTGTTGATGACACTATTATTGGTATAATTTTTACAATGTCCTGGTGCCACATCTGCCTTATTTCTTCTGCTAGAGGTATATATTTTTCAATTTTTTCAGTGTGTTTCTTCTTGACATTTTGTGAATTTGGTATGGATATCTCTATTAAGTATGTCGTTTTGTTGGTTTGTGGATGAGCGTGATGTCTGGTTTGTTGTGTGGTGTGGTTTTGTCTGTGATTATATCCCGGTTCCAGTAGAGCTTGGCTGTCTTATTTTCTAGAACGTTAGCTGCTTGATATTTGTAGTATGGTGTATGGTAGCAGATGAGTGAATATTTCTTTGCTATTTCCTGATGGATTATTCTGCAAACATCGTCGTGTCTTTGGGTATATTGTCTGGAAGCAAGTATAGGGCATCCTCCGGTTATGTGTTCTATTGTTTCGGTTTGTGTGTGACATAGTCTGCATTTGTCTGTAGGTGTTTTGGGGTCTTTGATTATGTATTTCTGGTAATTACGTGTGGCGATGATCTGGTCCTGGATTGCTATTATGAAACCCTCGGTTTCTCCAAACAGGTTACCATGAGTAAGCTATGCATTGGATGCTGCTATGTCAATGTGTGGTTGTGTTAGTTGGTTTGCATGTTTTCCATGTAGGGCTTTGGATTTCCATTTTTCAATTTTAGTCTTTGTTGTTGTAATTGCATCAACTGGTATGAATGCTTCATTGTTGAATTGTAACGGTGTACCTGATGTTGTTAGGTTAACAATGCTTCGGTGTAGTGGCTGGTAACTGCTTTCTCTCTGAAATATTCTCTGAGTGTGTGTATTTGCTTGTAGTTCATGTTCTTTAGATCCATGAATCCCCTTCCTCCTTCTTTTCTTTTTAGTGTAAATCTTTCTGTTGCCGCGTGTATATGGTGTATTCGGTACTTGTTACATGTTGTTCTTGTTAACCTGTTTAGTTCTTCTAATTCTGTGTCACTCCATTTTATAACGCCAAATGAATACGTCAGGACGGACGCTGCATAGGTATTTATTGCTTTCACTTTGTTTCGACCGGACAGTTCTGTTTTGAGTATTTGTTTTATTCTGTTTTTGTATTTGCTTTTTAGTTGCTGTTTTATGTTGGCATGCTCTAATCCTGTTTTTTGTAGGTATCCGAGGTATTTTATGTCTCATCCATTTCCATATTCTGTATGATATTTGAGTCTTGTAGAATGTATTCTTCCTGTATCGAGTGTTTTCCATTTATAATGCTGTTTATTTTACATTTATCTGTTCCTAGTTTCATTTGGATGTCTTCACTGTATGTTTCTGTAATATTGAGAAGGTTGTTGAGTTGTTTTCTGGTTGCTGCATAAAGCTTTAGGTCATCCATATATAGCTGGTGCGAGATGGTAGATGAATGTGTGAGTGAGGATATTTTATAAGCATCTTGGGGCGTTTTGTTGAGTAGGTTCGATAGGGGGTTGAGCGCAATACAGAACCAGAGTGCACTGAGGGAGTCACCCTGAAAAATTCCTCTATTAATTTGAATTGGTCCTGTGTGGATGAGTTGTTTTTTCATTTTGATGTTTAGGGTAGTTTTCCATGTTGCCATTATTCTCTGCAGAAGTTGTATGATTTGAGGGTGGATTTTGTATATTTGTAGAACTTGTATGAACCAGGAGTGTGGGACGGTGTCGAAAGCTTTCTGATAATCTATGTATGCAAAATGTAGAGACTTACGTTTTAATTTGGCTTGAGTGTGTATTTCTGCATCTATCACCAGTTGCTCCTTGCAGCCCCTAGATCCCTGACAGCATCCTTTCTGCTCTTCTGATATGATGTTATTATTCTGCTGGTGAGTGTTGATCTTTGTTGTTATTATTGCCGTTAGTAATTTATAGGTTGTTGATAAACATGTTATAGGGCTGTACTTAGATGGGGTGAAGTGTCCGTGCCTTTGGGTTTAAGGTAGGTAACTCCCTGAGTTAAAAAAGAGGGGATGGCTTCCGTTCCTTGTACAAAATTTTGTAATATATTCGTTAGTGGTTTGTGGATCTTGTGAATGATTTTAGCCAGTAGTTTATTATTACTATTTTTTTTTTTTTTTTTTTTTTCGGCAGGTTTCTACTTTGAAACCGTGTGTTGCAACTACCATCGGCGTGTGATTGCAGGATGGTAGCCCATTTCTACTACTCTAAGAAAGACCTGACGATGTTGGTTGCGTCAAGTATTACCGACTTTTGCATTTTACGGTAAGTCTTGTATTGAATTCCAATTTCTTCCAGAGAATTTTTCAAATTTATTGGTATCAGTCCCATTGATGTCAGTATGATCGGAACAATTTTGACCTCGTTGAGCCGCCACATATCTTTAATTTCGCGTTTTAATTCGGTGTACTTCTCAACCTTTTCTCTATGCTTTCTATCCATATTGTGATTGTTTGGTATGGAAATATCGATGAGGAATGCATTATTATGTTGTTTGTCAATTACTGTTATGTCGGGTTTGTTATGTGGTATCGTTTTGTCAGTTATAATTCCTTTATTCCAGTATATCCTGGCCCTTGTATTCTCCACTACCGGCGCTGGCTTATATTGGTAATATCTTGTGTTTGTTTCAACTTCAAAAGAATAGTTTTTTAGTAGTTCTAAATATACTATCGTGGCTACTCTGTCATGTCTTTCCACATATTTTGTTCCCGCCAGTAGCTGACACGCTGAGAGAATATGTTCTATTGTCTCCGACTCCATTTTGCATTTCCGACACGAAACTGAGGTTATATTCTCTTTCATAATAAACTTCCTATAGCTCAGTGTAGCGGTAACCTGGTCTTGGATGCTAATCATGAAGCCCTCCGTTTCTGGAAACAAGTACCCATCGACGAGCCATTGAACAGATGCTTGTTTGTCCACCGTTTCTCGCTGCAGCTCGTTGTAAAAACGTCCATGCAAAGCTTTCGAGCCCCACTCTCTAAGTGACTGCTCTCTGTTTTTTACAGACAGGTGGTCATGGTTATCAGCGTTCAGGTTAAGTGTAGTGAGGTTGTTGTCCACTTTTACCACAGCTCTATTGATGTCATTGTTTGTGCTCCTAAAATATTTCCTGAGGTCTATATGTTGTTTGCAAGAAGCAACCACATCGATGATTCCGCGACCTCCATCTTTTCGAGGCAAGTTTATCCTTTCCACTGCCGATCCTGGATGGTTTCTAAATTTTGATAATTCCATTCTTACCAACCTGTTGATCCGTTCCAGGTCAGTCTGTGTCCATTTTACAACACCAAATGAATACTGCAAAATTGGGATGGCATAGCTATTAATTGCTTTGGTCAGGTTTTTTGAATTAAGCTTGCTTTTTAATAGCTTTTTTAGTCGTGTCTTGAATTGACAGTAAGTATTTCCTTAATTTTGCTATGTTCAATCTTGTTTGTCTGCAGAACTCCAAGGTATTTGTATGGATCACGGGACATCGATGCTACTTTTGTGTTTGGGTTCAATTGAAATTCAGGTCCCTCAATCAGTTTTCCTCTCTCAACGGTTACTGTTTGGCACTTTTTGACACCGAAGTCCATGGCAATATCAGTGCTCATCTGATAGGTGAGTTTTAGGGCAGCGTCTAGTTGCTTTTGGTTTGCCGCGTAGATTTTTAAGTCATCCATAAAGAGCAAATGGCTGATAACTTTTGAATGTTTTCCAAATTTTAAGGCAAAACCGAACCCTGTTTCTTTAAGTGTTTCGGATATTGGGTTCAGAGCAAGGCAAAACCATAATGCAGACAAGGAGTCCCCCTGGAAGATTCCTCTCTGCAATCTTATAATTCCAGATTCTATATTTGACTCTTGATGTTTAATACTTAGTGAAGTATTCCATTTGGTCATAGTATGCTGTAGAAAATTTATGATGGTATTATCGATACTGTAAATCTCCAGCACTTTTAAAAGCCAGCTGTGAGGTATTGAATCGAAGGCCTTCTGGTAATCTACGTATGCCATGCATACATTTCTTTGCCTTTGGCGTGCTTGGCTCGAGAATTACAGCATCTATAGTGATCTGTTCTTTACAGCCAAGAGCTCTTCTTTTACATCCTTTTTGTTCTTCCGTCATTATGTTTTCTTGTTCCAGGTACGTATCAATTTTGTCCCGAATTACAGCAGAAAGAATTTTATACAATGTAGGTAGACAGGTGATCGGTCTGTATTGCGACGGGTCTTTGGTATTCTCGGATTTCGGGAGAAGGTAGGTAACTCCACTTGTGAGGAAACTTGGAAGTTCCTCTGGTTTTTGTAGGACTCTGTTAAATTGTGATGCCAAACATGCGTGTGTACAGGTAAGTCTTTTGAACCAAAAGTTCTGGATCCCGTCTTTTCCTGGGGCTTTCCAGTTTGCTAGTTTTGATATTACTTTTCTGACATCATCGGTTGTTACTGTTACTGGGTTCATTGGGTTTCCACGTAATATGATTTTTATTATTATTATTATTATTATTATTATTATTTTAATTTTCTTTCCTCCGCTAAAAATCGGCTTTTCGTTTAAGAACCATGATCATATTATTTTTTCATGTCTTAGACTTTTTTTGAAAATCTCGAAAACCGTTGTTAAAGTGCTAAAAATTTAGGTGAATTATTTTGATTCCACACCAAATCAATCCCCTGAGTACGAGTCAAAAAAGCCGCGGGGGCAGATTTCCCATATTAACCCGGCTATACCCTTCATAAAAAATGCTTAAATAACAATTAACAAGAAATATCAAATAAATAAAACCACCCTGAGAACTTTTTGAATACGAAAATTTGGCTACCTCTTTTTTCGATTTTTGAGTGTTTTTTCTTTTTGTACATAATTTGGCACATTATTTTCAAAATTTTAATTGAAAACTTTCCAAAATCTATAAATAAAATTGATATTTACCGAATTCTTTGGGTGGCTTAGTCAAGTATTAAAAAGAATTAGTATAAAGATAACAAAAGTATATAATATCTGCAATACAGACTTTAGTGATTGAAATATGAAAAATATCGAATAGAAAAAAAGTGTATATAAAAATAAGGATTCCTTTAAAGAGTTAGGCAGAGTAATTTTTGTGTAACGAATATCATATTTGTGCTACACCACTTGAGTTACACACAATTTAGATTAGTCATTTCTCTAATTTTGACAAATATTTCTTCGTTATTCTGTTCATAAAATAATTTTTATTAATGTATAGATTATTTCTATAGTTAGTGGACAGCATAGCTAAAAAAAGAATAGGTACTAGCAAAATTAGAAAAAATCAAACTATAGGCGTATTTATCACAGTTCATATTAAGTCTAAAGCGGTCCACAGACGATAAGGTTTGTCGTAGAACAAGACGTTCAATTTAATAATATAAAAGCCACAGTGGCTATCATACATAACGTACGCGAGAACCACTATTATATCGTCTGCAACCCGTTAAAGCATTGCCTAAAAACTTTGTGATGTTTTTATTTACACTGGTTAGATTTAATATACACTGCGACTTACCCTAAGTGCCTTGATTTTATACTTTTACAATAATATATAAAAAAATAGTTTAAAATAAAGAAATGCAAAAAGGGAAAAATTATCACAGTTATTTAAAAAGACACAATCCGGTTAGTATTGGTCTTCATTTCAGGCTGGAAAAATTGGTAAGAACTAGGGATGTCCGTTTATATCGACATATTGAGTATCGGTATTTTTACAACATGTAACGGGTTCTACGCGTAATGTTTATACATAAAGATAAAATTAGAGTAGAATTAAAAATAAGAGGATTGTATTGGATACCATTACAATTTGAAACACCACATAAATGGGAAGACAGGATGGTTGAAAAAATAAATCGATATTTTAATACATCGATATTTCCGGACATATCTAGTAAAAAACTGGAAAGCATAATATAAGCAGAATAAATAAAAATAAACAAGGCAAATCCAAAAGTTATTCGGGTGAGGCATAAATTAACTATTCTTACGAATTACTAGATATATCTTTGGTAACTTCCAAAGAGATATACATATACATTTATAAAAATCTTGTATATAAAATTATATATAATCAATATTTTTAATTTTATATTTCATTTAAATGGACAGTCGCTATTGTTTTTAAATAAACAGAACGTCTTTCAAGGCAGTTGGGACGTTATCTCTGTTATTGGTACTTCGTTGGTGAAATTAAACATATTTTGTACTTTTAGTAAGGTTATGTTTTGTCCTTCAAAAAAAATTCTAAAAGTACTGAAAATCTCATTAGATTACAAGCTCTTACTACGGTATTATAAAGACAATTGAAATTGTATCTGATTAGTAAGAAATATGACAGATTCAGAAGAATATATTATTAATATATTATTAATACATGCTCTACTCTTACAATATATCACAGTTAATATTGTTCTTGCAACGGAATATACAGACTTTTACAAAAAAAATGATATAAATGTATTGAGTGATTCAAACTTGGCGCCACGTTGTGAAGTTAGGTATGACAGAGTGTCAATTATGTCATGTCACTTTTGTGTCACCGTAAGGTATATTATGAGTCTGGTTGTTTATGTCTGATTTGTTTCCATTCCTATCCACCAGTTATATTTTTTCATATATTTTAGCTTTAAGTGTCAAGCCTGAATCACACCGGACATATATCAATTCATGGCTTATTTTCTGCCATTTGACGAAATTTATATGTATCCAAAAAAGCATTTTAAAGACCTTCGATTCAAACCATTTCACTCATACTACACATATTTCGAACAAGTCTTTTTGTATATAGTCTGTCCAGCTGGTCAGGAAAGATTTAGATACGCGTCATTAAAAGATTGACAGAAAATACAATTTGTAATTTGAAAATGCATTTGTTGGACAGACTATACTAATGAGCAATACTACTCATATTTCGAACAAGTCTTTTTGTATAGAGTCTGTCCAGCTTGTCAGGAAAGTTTTAGATACACGTCATTAAAATATTGACAGAAAATAAAAATAGTAATTTGAAAATACATTTGTTGGACAGACTATACTAATGAGCAATACAGCTGTTTGTGTTTAAACTCCATACATTCATAGACAATAAATAGTATTAATTTGGTAGTTCAAGTTTTAAATTCACTTACAAGATATATTATCTTGATCTTCCATTCTTTTTTTGAAACACATAATAATCTTAGCTTATACCATAGAACACTGCAATTAGAGTGAGGTAAAAATATCAGAGCGTTGCGATTCTGTAAGCTATCCAAAGAAATTTCTTGCTAGCGACTCACACTTACTCGGCTTTCTTCGTGGAAATTGGTTCATCATAACACAATCATACTGTAGGTGTCAAAAATATCACCTAGGTTATTTGTTTTGACATTGAAAGTCTTTATTATGGTCTGAATCTTAAAATCATAAATTTGTAAATAAAATTTAGAATGTATATTTTATAAAAATATATTTTAAAAAATTCATCGATATACTCATTAATATTTTGCACAGAAAATATCGTATGACCGAAAAAAGAACATCGTCCATTTGGCTTGGAAATGACCATCAATGACATTCCCTATATACATTTACATATAAGATGAAAGCGATCTTCGTTTCAAAACCATCGTTGCCGCCGTTTTTTTTTTCGATCATATTGTATATGCTTGTTGATATATAAATACCAGTGTCAAGTTACCTTCAAATTAAGGATGAATGATATTTTATATGCAAAATTATATTGTGAATTTTATCGACTATTCCCAAGGTAATTTGCGCTCTTTTTATTTCGACTGTACATATTCAAAAAATATCAATGAATCTATGAAAGAAATTGACGATATATGGAACACTCTTCAAAAATAATATTTAATCTATCGATATATTTTTAAATTTTACCAACACTATAGCAATATATTTTAACGTCCTTTTTGCCAAGTCTGGCCAAACACCGTGTTCAGGTCATGATAGTTTCCGAATAAATTTCGAGAAATTTTTTGATTGGTTGGGATGAAAATATCTGTCAAATTTGTAAAGCGAGGAAAATTATATGATACATCCTAAAAATATCATAAGAATAGTGAGTCACTGGCAAGAAATTTCATTTTACGAGCTTACAGAATCACACCTCGGTGGTCCTTTCATGGCGCGAACAAGAGAATCCTTATTCAACCACACCTTCCGTCGAAATATACAAGTTATTTTACTTCCTCCTCAGGAACACAAATACCATTATGATTATTCCCACACCCCTCTTTGCGACCCTTGAGCAGAAACACGTTCATGTTATCCTTGCCCTTCACGTAAACAGGCCCCCTTTTCTCAAAATCGAATCTATTCCTCAGCACGTTCAAACAATGCTCGCCCACCTGAATCCTACCGTCGACCCCCGTACTATCCATTCTCGAAGCTATATTGACCGCGTCGCCCCATATGTCATAGTAAAGCTTGGTGTTCCCGATGACGGCGGCCGTCACGTCACCGAAATTATAACCTATCCTGATAATCAGGTTGAACTCTAGGAGGTTCCTGTTAAAGTTCTCCACTACGTTTTGCATCTCCAGAGCGAACTCCATCAGGGCGTAGAGGTGTTCGTTTGGATCCCTCTGTCTGGCTCTTTGTTCGGAATCCAGCCCGCTGGCCGCCATGAAGGTGGAGCCTATGGTTTTGATTTTTTCCACGCACCTGAACTCTTCTCTGTCGAGCAGTTCGTCGAAATCGCCGATAAGCTCGTTGAGTACTCTCAGGTACTCTTTACCACCTTCGAAACTCTCGTCGTACATCTCGTTAAAGTTGACTATGCTGGCGAATATGATAGCCACGTCCTTGAAGTTTTCAGAGTATTTAGCCGATTTTTTCAGCTGGTCGGCGACGTGTTCCGGTACTATGTTATAAATGAGGTAGTCGGCTTGGTTCTTCAAGGTTTGAACTCGGCTTTTATCCCTGTTGGCGACGAAATTCGCGTGAAAACTAAACCTGTACCCGATCTCGAACTCTCTGTTCAATATCCAAACTAATATGAGCAACATGAACAAGTTCATCAACAAATCCAGGTTTTGTACATAGTATTTCTTGGGTTCGGACACCCCACTAGTCTGATTCATCGATACAAACGAACTATTAAGAGATTCGGTAGAGTTAGTTTCGATAGTTGTTAAAGAACAACTTTTCAATATGACCAAAACTATAAACGCTCCGCTTAGTATCGTGGCTATGGTACTCTTCATCCAGCAATTCAACTGGGTGAAATTACAAAAGTGAATGAGACCAACGAAGAGGAGATATGTAAATAAATGTGTGTTACAGTGGCCTAGGTCTGTACTTCGTCCGTAATTTACTACAGCGGAGAACATAGGTAAACTAACTAGTATAGCACCAAATATATTCCACCTACAAAATATTGTGCTGCATCTGCACGAACCCTCCATCCATTTAATCACCGGGACAACACAGAGTCCGATATTCAATACTTGCAGTAGAAGACAAATTGAAAAAGTTATTATCCACACATTGGTGATGCCATAGACGAAAGCTAGACCGACCGAGATCAGAAGAAAGACAGTTAACGAAATAAATATATCAAAGTAAGTGTTAAACCTCGAATTGGCCAGCGTGTTCATCTGATTTGATACCGGTACCTGATGTACGTTTGCCCTATATTCCCGTTCCATGTCCCTGTCCTTGAAAAACAGCGTCCAAGTTGACGTGGGTGGCGCGATAAACTGCAAAAACTTCGGGCTGGTGTCCTGCATGCACTTGATCAGCTGTCTGTCCGACTGTTTTCGTAGGTTTAGGCCTATGAATTTTGGAACTTGAGGTGGTACTTGGTTGATCGGTTTGATTGATTGTTTTATGGTTACGGGCACGGAGTTGATGGAGCTCTGGCTCGAGGTGTAGTAGCCGGAGACGCGGTGTTGCAACATTTCCTGGTTCATGTGATTATTGTCAATCTGGAAAAAAGAGGTCCCCTACCGTCTGTTTAAATATAAAAACTAGTTGTTGTAAAATTTGAGCTTGAGAATTTATTACAGCAGTTTCCAAATTGTGAATAAATGTTACTGATAAAAAGTTATACAGGGTGCTACAAATTCGGAATACGAACATTGGTATCTCGGTAACCAAAACAGATACGAACATGGTTAAATTGAGGCAGAGTTGCGCCCTTTAGGATGTTCACCAAGATACCATCAAAAGTTTTAAAAATTTCAAGGATTGCTGACTTTTTGAAAAAAAACGGATTTTTTTTGAAAATGAACTTTATTTTTTCCTGTCGTTACTTTTTAGAAAATCAAAAAACTAATTATACATTCTCATAGGCACTTTATTAGGACTATCTGATAATATTTTTGGATTTTCAAATTAGATGATAATTTGTGATACAGAGGCCAACTTAATTTTTTTAAATACGGACCTGCATTTTTTATTTCAGGTTTTGAAAGAACTCGGTCTTCTGAGTACAATGATATGCCACACTTAATATTATTTTTGTTTCGGACATTTGAATACAATTTATTTAAACTAATTTCAAATCCGGCTCTGTTTTTTTTAATATTTAATCTGTCCGTCATTACAATACTGATAGCTTTCAAATTTAACAATGACGTGGGGTAAAATATTGAATACAGAAAATCAAATGCAATAAAATAATAAAAAATAATATGATATAAACAATCTAATCATTTCCCTTCCGAATCTTTGATAAAAAAATTAAAAATAATATCTTTAAATTGCTGACCTGGATATTATTTATTTGAATCTTTCAATTGGCTCGATTTTCATTATTCAATGTTAATTAGTGCTGATCAATATTGTTACGATGAATATAATCAGATTAAATAATTAAAAAAAAACAGAGTTGGACTTCAAATTATTTTAAATAATAATTAAATAGTTTTGTTATTGTTAAGGTGTCCAAAACAAAGAAATATATCAAGTGTGGCATAGCATTGTACGCAGGAGACCGAGTTCTTTCAAAACTTCAAACAAAAAATGCACGTCCGTATTTAAAAAAAAATTAAGTTGGCCTCTGTATCTCACAATTTATCAGCTAATTTGAAAATCTAAAAATACTATCAGATAGTCCTAAAAAAGTGGCTATGAGAATGTGCAATTATTTTTTTTAATTTTCTAAAAAGTAACGACAGGAAAAAATAAAATTGATTTTCAAAAAATCAGTTTTTTCCAAAAAAACTCAGCAATCCTTGAAATTTTTAATTGCATCTTAGTGAACATCAAAGGAGCAACTTTGTTCCAATTTAACCATCTTCGTATCTATTACGGTTTCCGAGATAGCCAATGCTCGTACCCCGAATTTGTAACACCTTGTATACATAAAAAATAATGCAGCTGTATGACAGTACACTAGCGTTTTTTACTCACCTGTTGAATGCTACTCCTCCTGCTATTACTCCTGATACCCGAATCTTTCCGGCTCTGCGCGGATGCGAACTCGTCCAACTGCGCAACGCTAGACAGCCTGCTGCACGGTACGTCCAGCGATCTCTTGGGTCTGGAAATATTACTAACGGTTACTGTGGCGCTCCTGGCTCTGCAACGAAAAAACGAAAGCGAACGAAACGTTGGTGTTAGTACAAGGCGCAGACGTGAACAGAGACGTGTTTTTTTAGGTTAGGCGAGTACCTTTCCATTGGTTCCACGGCGTCCGGGTTGGGTGAACGACCGCGCCTTGTTCGGCTGCTGCCAGCTCGGTTCAGGACGGAGATGTCGCCGGTGTAGGACCGGCCGAATTGCGACTTGTAACTTCCTAAGAAGGGAAAAAAATAGGAAGAAGAATACTTAAATACATATAAAGATTAGGATGGCCGTTATTTACAAAGTTAATAATCTCTCTCACGACGCCCTCTAAATTTTTAGTTTATTGTTTAAAAAAATCACGGACCATTGTAAACCCTTTTAAACTTTAACCGTGAATAACTTTTGAAGGAGTAGGTTTATTGAAAAATTGTAAGAGACCTCTTTTGTAGAGCGTTCAATTCTGTACAAGAATATGTGATTGTCATGGCTGCGACAGAACAAGATCGAGAAAAAAAATTATTTGCAAAAAGTGGCAAATTCCCATGTAATTTAAATGGCAATAAATCGTCTTTGGGGCAAGGTTTATTTTGAATATTAAGGATTAACAATAGTCTGTTATTTTTTTTAGACAATAAACTAAAAATTTAGAGGGCGTCGCATCGTGAGAGAAATGATCATCTTTGTAAATAACGGACACCCTAATAAAGATATAAAAAGACCAAGGAAGAGGTATATCAAAACAAAATAGACACCCTAAATCTTAGCGCGCTAGAGTCACAACAAGTTAGTAACAAAAGTATAGGTCTAGATGTTACTTAATATCTAAAGTCAACATAACTATAAAGTAATGTTATTAAAATCTACTTGTGGAAAATCTTACCTCCTCTGACAAAATCGGCCGGCGACGAATAATCAAAAGCTCCTATATCGCTCCTGGAATGACTGATGTAAGATTTGATATCCAGAATGTCCCTGGACACGGGAAAATCTTCGTATCTTGGAGCTAAAGTGACGCAAGAATCTTTTTTCTTCCTGGTCAGCGAGTTGGAAGACTCTATGATAGTGGGAACCTAAAACCAAAATAGTAAAAAAATACAGGAGATCTATCTTAAATAAATTCATCTTCTTCAACTGGTAGTGTGAAGTATATTTGCACGCCCAATGATTATTTTTTGCAGAAAAATAGTTAAAAATTCTACAGTTTTCTTGACATTTTTCCCGAAAATTTAGAGAAACTTTTTAGGTTCTCAAATTTTTCGAATATTCTCGAAGTTTCAAAATTAAACAACTCTGTAATTTTCAATTTATGTTAAAAATGGCAAACAGAAGATTTGTTTCCTTTTTCCCGATCCACCGCAGATTTTTAAAATTTTTCTCGGAATACTTTTTCGGTAGTGTAGTAAATGCATACAAAGTTGTCACTAAAATAACTCGGCAATTTTCGACGCTATTTTGAAAAATTCAAAATAAATATTAAAAAAATTAAAAAAATCAAAATGAACAAAAATCTGTATAAAATAGTACCTGTTGATATCCATCTTCGCTAGCATCTGTGGTACCAGATACGAAATCAACGTCAATGTCGGGCTTACTGCTGGTGGTACTGGTTTTTCTCATAAATTTCGGTATTTTCCAGTTACGGATTTTCATGGAATATTTCCCGGAACTGGCGGTGGAAGTCGGCGTTTTGATATTTTCCACGTTCACACCATCGGGAGGATCTTGCTCATTTTCTGAATCTAACGATATACACACATGGCCAAAATTATTGCATATATCGTTTAAAAATATACGGAAAGGAATTTAAAGAATTTTTTTATACATAGGATGTGGTAAACAATGTTTATCGTTCAGATCCAATATTATTACAAATTTTTGCATTTCGCTTTGTGGTCTCTTCGGTTTTAGAAGAAATTTGGCCATTGTTTTGGCCTTAAAATGCCTAGAAACATTATTTCACAGTTTAATAGAGTCAGAATAGTAACACTGTCTCAACGGCTACCGGTAAGTTGCAATAGCTGAAATTGTAGGAGTTAACCAAAGTTTCGCGAATATTAAAAAAATTCATGGAGACAAACGAGGTTACAGACCGGCCTGGAAGAGGTAGAAAGAGAGTTACTACTGTTGTGCAAGACCGTCAAATATCCCTAATGGGACGACGCAATCCTCTGCTTTATAGTACTACTATTAAAAATGAGTTAGCTCGCCTTGAAGGAGTAAATGTTTCAAGAGAGACCATAGCAAGAAGACTCCGAAGCTTAATTTACAGCACAAAATTACGCGATTACAATGGGCTGCGGAGATGAGTGCAAATGGACCTAACTGGAATTTCGTCATGTTTAGTGATGAAACTAGAATAGGCCTAGTGTCAGACTCGCGAGGAACTTTAGTCTGGAAAGCATCTGGAAGACGAGCACGCTTGAATGCAGATCAACCCCGTGTCCCGTTTCAAGTAGGAAGCATTATGGTATGGGCAGGTGCACGTGCATTAGCACGGAGTTGGAACTCCTCTTGTTTTTATTGATGGCACAATGACAGGTGCCTCATATCTTAGATACGTTTTAGAGCCTATTGTGTGTCCATTTCGAGGGGCAGTAGGGGATGAATTTGTTTACATGGACGATAATGCTTCTCCCCATCGCACTTTAGCGGTTCGCGAATTTTGTGAGGAAGAGGGTATGAGAAAACTGTGGTGGCCACCACTGTTTTCTCATACTACAGATATGAATGTGATCGAGCATGCTTGGGACATGCTAAAACGCCATATTGCCAAAAGGAATGACCTCCCCCCCGTACCTTAAATGAATTGAAAATTGCTGCGCGCGAAACATGGGAAGCCATTCCTCAACATCTTCTGGACAACTTAATTGAGAGCATGCCACGTCGCACAGTGGGGCAGGATTCACTAAATATGGCGAAAAAGTTTGGGTGATAGTGCACATATATTTTACGTATAATTAACATGTTATAAAGTGATTTTTATCGAAAAATGGTTATTGCTTAGCGGTATGACTATTATACAGGGTGGGTCAACAAAAAAATTACTTTATTTTTCGAAAGTTTATATATTTTTATTACTTTAGTTTCAGCAGGTTATAAAGTGACTTTTATCAAAAAAAGACTATTGTTTAGCGGTATGACTATTATACAGAGTGGCTCGACAAAAAAATGACTTTATTTTTCGAAAGTTTAGATATTTTTATTACTTTAATTTCAGCAGGTTATAAAGTAACTTTTATCAAAAAATGGCTATTGCTTAGTAGTATAACTATTATACAGGAGGGTAAACATAAAAAAAAATCACTTCATTTTTCGAAAGTTTACAACGGTTATTTTAACTATATATTAGATTAGAAATTCCAATTTAGGTAGAATTTACTGAAGTTTAAAATGTAGTCTTCATTTCTAGAAAATGTTAAATATATCAAAAACCTTACATTTAGTCTTATGCTTCTCTAATGAAACTCACCTTTATTTCTTTCTAGAATCCGAAAATCAATTAAAGGGTGTCCCAGAAATAAATGCAAGTATTATAACTGGTAGTATAGGTCAACCCCAGAAACTTGCCTATGAGTTTTTTTCGCGAAAAAAAATGAAAATTCGGAATTTTTGGAAATTTTTTAGTTTTTAGTCACAAAACATAATTTCTTGATAAGATGGCAACATAGGTAGTAGATTAAATTTACAAGAAAGAAAATCCAGAAAAGATCCAGTGGTTCTCAAAATTTTAAAATAATAATCTTTAAAATATTTTTTTTGAAATGTTCAAAGTAAAATAACTCCGTTATTTTAGACTTATTTGAAAAATGATAAAGAGAAAATATGTTTCTTTTATCGAGATCTACCACCCCTTAAAATACTTGCACTTATTTCTGGGACACCCTGTATAGGGTGTCCCTTTGATGTGTAACTTTTTTGATGTGTAACTTTTTTGGGGACACCTTAATGAACTCTATATATTTTTAAAAAATGCTCTAAATTGACTTACATTTACTTACAAAATTGCATTTCAATGTAAACATTCATTCAGACATTCTTCTTGGAGCTTCCGTATACTATGAGTAGTATGAGAGGTGCCACCCTGTATACCAAACATTTAAAACACTTTAATAACGAAAATGTTTTGCAGTATTTATGGTCGTAGGTAAAGTTTAGTACGTAAATCTTGTTGTAGAAATATAGTAATGCGCCCATACAATACTACACCCATCACCACACGCCTTGTGTGCAACTTTTCTATTCGCCCGTAATATATTTTTTGCAGTACTCATTACGTAATATAGTATTTCATCCATTTTCTATTTTTATACCATATATCCAGAAGAAAATAGCAGAGAAATGTCAATACTTGCCGAAGAAAACTTAGCGAGAATAAATTTAGCGATAATTTATGATCAATTTTTCGACTATTCATAGGTTCATTAAACTTAAAATAATTTACAATGGGGCAAGAACGGGCAAAAATTTTCGTTATAATATTAAATTGTTTGAATGGAGGAAAAATAATATATGTCAAAATCAGGCTGAAACCATTTTGTGAAGCACCTTGTATAAATAATTCTAAATTGTGTATTGTAGCAATAACCTCTGAATAATCACTGTTATGTCTTTTATACATGTCTGTAGTCCACTAACTACTGCACTTACCTAATATACTAGGCAGACTGCTAGCCTTGACAATACAAGAATCGGGCGACAGAAAGTTCTTGTTCTGGCCTTTCATGTGTGAAGTGTCGCATGACAGTACTCTAGGCCTAGTCTGAGGCGACAGAGACACCGAAGACGCGGGCGGTGAGACGAAGAGTTGCAGAGAGTTGACGTATTTTTGCCTACCCTCCGCCCTAAAGCTACCTTGGTAAGAGGGGGATCTGTCAGTCTTTCTATCGATGATAAAATACGTTTTTAGGCCTGCAAAAAAACAAGACAAAAAATGCCAAATTGAAATAAAATCATATAAAATATAATAATAGTACTGGTCAAAACTAGAGCAAAATCTATCCAACAAGATGATACATGTCAGTAACAGATATTAGCTGTCATTTTAATTGTAAATTATATTCGCGGTTTTATATTTCAGATGACATTTTCCACAGTAAATTTAAATACTTTAAATATAAAAAATGTTCATTTTTTATTTCTCGGTCTAATAAAAAAATAATATACAGGGTGTTCCATTAAAAAAAAACAAAGAAAAAATATTTTAGAATGTCTGGCGTAGAATTTTGAATATCCTGTATGGTTTAAGGGTTTTTTTTTACCATCTAAAGTAAATACCTAATATAGTTTTGATTTCAAGACGGTTCTTGTATTTATAATGATTTTTTTAATGGAGGTTGAAAAAAATATATTTTCTATTTTTTTATTAATACCTCTGAGTATCGAAATATATTTACTCATATCCTAGAATTATATAAAGTGATCTGAAAGGAAGCGAAAAATGCAATAATATACAGGGGGTTCCGTTTAAAAAAAATCATCCCGATTCACTCACACTTTTTTGAGCCATCCTATAGAAGTTAAAATATTTCTATATTATTTTTTCCTGAAATACATACTTTAGGTTGCACTTAAACAAAATTTGCAAAATTTTTATTCTAGGAGCTACAGATGTCCGACGCACTATTGCCGGACCCTGTACCTATAATATTTTAGAACATCTCGATCATTTGTCACCGGAATTTTAAATCTATTAGTTTCCCGCTTTGAATTTCAATTGTACAAAGTTATTTGTATACCGGGTGCGTCTCAAAAGTGGGTCAACCAAATCTATTTTTCCAAGGCTCCTTGATTAAAAATTTGTATTTTCAACACAAATTTATTTAAAAAAAAATATTTAAATTTATTGTATAATTTAAGATACCGAGCAGCTCTTCATTTTACTTTATAGAGCAAATGGTTTCAACAGATATTTTATTTAGATTAAACCTGCAAAAATTAGTTTAAAATGATTTTTATTACCGCTATGTTGGTCATATTGTGCTGCGATCTGCAACGTTGTCGTTTATTATTTGACAATTATCATAATGTCAGTCATTATTTTGTATAATATCCTGTTGTTGAATCTTTGGGAGTAATTCTAGTTTCTTGCCGATTTTCATAGTATTTTTTTAAAAATTGTACTTTCAAGCACAAACAGTTAGTCTTTTAAGAACTAAATTTTCGAGTTTTTGTATTGCATTTCTTGAAATTGTCTGTTGAAAATATGGCGAAGCATTTAAACAGTTGAAGCAAAGACCATGTAGCTTTCCTGATAAACTATTTTGAACAAGAACGTGACAATAAAGGTCCTTTATTACCCTTGACTGCAGTCAGAGAAGTAAGTTTGATTGGTAAGCACATTATACACCACTTTCAAAGTTATTTCTACTTATTTCGATTTGTAGCGAGTAACTGCTACCTTAAATTTAAATATTTCTACTGTGAGTGTTAGTGACTAATGTTAATAAATAAATTAATTACTAAAATATATAAAAAATAAACTAAATTTTAAAAAAAATATATATAATAAATATATTGTTCCCCAATTTTACATTACGATTAATCTTATAAATCCATCACAATCTGACAGCGCTGTCACCATCGCTTATTCACTCAAAGTTGAACACGTGCATCGGAAATAGTTTTGCGATTACTTAACAATTAAAATGACAGATATAAAAAATATAACGACTGTCAAGGATTTTCCAGTTGGACAGACCATAAATACCTGAAACGACTTCGCCCTCCTCCAAAAAGTACCGATCGTGCAAGAACCCACTGGTTTTCTCAGACACGTGCACCATCCCCGGCCTGCCCGTGCTCTCCATCTTATTGGCCAGCGTGACGTCGTTGCTCCACACGTCGAACTTGAACCTCTTCGTTCCGACTATGCCGCACAAAACCGTGCCCGTGTGAATCCCCACCCGCATATTGATCCCCTCGTGCTTCTCCCGGTCGAACTTCTTGATCGCCTTGATCATACTCAGCCCCATCTCCACACAGCATCGGGCATGATCGGTTCTGGGGGTGGGACAGCCCGATACGCAATAGTAACAATCGCCCAGAGTCGATATTTTTTCGCAGCAGTGTTCCTTGCACAAATCGTCGAATCTCTGGAATAAATTATTGAGTATTTCCACTAATTCTTCTGCGCTTTTGTGACTGGACATCTTCGTGAAACCGACTATATCAGCGAATAAAATACTGACGTTGTCCATCGAGTCCATGTTAAAGGGCCTGAACAAGGAGCGTAGGTCGTTGTTGCCAGACTCACTAGACTGCCTCCTAGTGAAATTCTCGTCGTCTCTCAATAACCAATTCGCAACACTGGGAGGCATCAACGAATGTATCATGTTCTCTTTAAATTTCTTTTCGAGTTCCAGCTGTTTCCTTACCAACAAACTCTGTCCCACTTTCATGAAAGTCTGCCTGAGTCTGACGTTGTTCATAAGGTAAATGTGCAGACCGATCAGGTGTGTGGCTACGTGCGAAAATATCATCGTCACCACAGTCGCCGTGTTTTCTGTCGGTCTTAGTTCGGGCGTAACTACAAAAACCATCAATTCAAAAGCTACGGAATAAAGTACTGCCAATGAGAGTCCAGCGTAGAGTTTTAAAGGTACCAGAGTATAAAATAATATCAACAGTTGCACGCAGACTGAGAAGTGTCCGACGCTGAGTCTTCGGGTGGCTAGGGTGAATAAAAAACTGATCACTACGCAGGATAGGGCGTAGACGAAGCAGATGGTGAACATGTGGCGCTGGAATATTCGGGTGTAGGTTAAGAGTAGGACAAATATGTTGTAGAGGAGGAGGAGTATGAACAGGATGGTTTTGAGGATCCAAGAGTGTGATGTGCTGAGGAGGCCGTTGCAGAGTATGTAGACTAGCCAGCAAGAAGCGATGCACATGGTGTAGCCTAAGGCAAACCTAGAAGAAAAGTATATTCTAAAATAAGAGCTGGCAAAGGTTAGTCTTGGGTCGAGATTTCCGTATGTAAGAAGAGTACAATGCAATTTTAATGTACTGAACAAAGAGAGAACAGTAAAAACGTTGCCAAACATATGAAATAAACTGAGAAACTGTGCACATTGCTAAGAGACGTGGAAAGGGATATAGCAGATACGTCCCGGTCGACCCAATCACTACCATATCAGTACTTAACTAGGGAAGAGTGTACATCATGCGTTCAACTTCACGATTTAATTACGTCTCGTAATACTTTATTTCTTTATTTATTAACGAGTCGCTGTAATTTTCCCTATAGCTTGTCAATTTTTGTGCAAGTTTGTGCAAAAAAGTGCAAGTTTGAAACATTTGCACTTTTGGTAAAAATAAGTGGAATTGAATTGGTGTTCGACAGTGGTCGCGCTATTAGAACTCTGAATTCAGAAATCGATATTTCAAAATCTGTTAATTAATCTGTTAAAATCTGTTAATTATTAATCTCAGAAATAATCGATTGGAGTTTTTTTCAAAAACTTTCTTAATATTTCTGCTATATTTTCTTCGCAGAGAGTATGTGAAAATCTTTATAAATAAAAAAGTTATACGATTGTTGAAAAAAGTAAATGGGTTGTTTTTTTTTAAATTTTGAATGAAAAAAAAAACAAACCTATCGAATTTTTCTTATTTAAACATCTTGTAAAAGATCCGACCATGAAAATAAAAAAAAGTTCCAATATCTAAAATAGTTCTGGAGTTATCGCGTGTTATATGTTAAAAAGTTCAGTTTTTAAATTACCGCGATTACTGACCTTTTTCGTTATAAAAAAATGGACACCCTAACGATATCCTTATAATTCCATTTTAGATGCTCAGAAACATATTTAATGATTTTATCTAGTTATCTTTTCGAAAATAAAAGTCTTTTAAAAATAAGCGGTTTGCGATCATGATTTTACTTTACTTGATAGAGAAAGGCCTACCGGAGTAATGTGGCAACGTCGCAACAGCATACCATAGCATTTCTCTCACTCCGACTTAATAAGATCCCTATGCCATTTACTTCCACACATGTAAATACCGACCCAAAAGTAAGAGTTGCCAGCACGGTATATGATGTTTCATATGAAAATGCACACTAGAGGGACCTCGTAAATCAGAAGAGATATATGATTAAATAAAAGAAATGTTGGCGAAAATTTGTATTGTCGTATATTTTCAAATAGTACCAGAAAAAAATAAAGAAAAAATCCGGTTTTCCGAAATATCTCTTAAATTTTAAAAAGGCGCAACTTTTACTAATCTACTGCTTTAAAAGATCCCTGCAGTTCATATTTATCACATCCTGTATACAAGATCGTCTACTTTGCAACAGGATTATACGAGTCGACACATAAACATTGGTTTTTATGAAAATTTCAACAACCTGTATTTTCAAAACGGATCATTTTTGACCCTATGTTATTGTGAAATTTTCTTTTTAAATTAAGTTTATCTCTGGACTCTATATGGAACTCTGGGTCATCCTGTATATAATTTACTTAAATATAGTTAACTGTTTTTGGCTGGGTGAATACAATATACAGTCTATCAACTTAATTATAAATACAGTTTTATTTATCTGAGGATTAATATTGAATTAAGCAGTAATATGATGGAGCGGGAGTTAATTTTTTATCAGATAACAAATAAAATAAGGCCGATAATAAAGCTTCCTTTACTTAATTCAGGAAGAAATAACACAATTAACATTTTTTTTGAAAACAAAATATAGACAGTTCAAAGATTATTAAAATTATATTACTCTTCCTTATAGATTTGCGCTATTCATTAGCACACGTAAATAAATGATCTCATTTATATATTTATTTGTACTTTGTCGTTAAGCATAGATAAAGCAGAGCATAATGTAATAAAATTAAATATTCCGTTATAATTCACTATTATTGTTAAGACTAATTAATTTTAATTAAATTAAATTAGTAGTAAATAATTAGTAAATGAACCAAAAGAAAATTAAATAAAAATAAAATAATAATTACATTTTGATATATATTATCATAATATTGTATTAATCATTTTTTAGTCTATGTATATTAAAAAGTTTTATCCTTATCTATAAAAATTATTATTAATTTTAATTATCTAATTTTTTACCCACATATCTGCTAGTCATTTTTCAAAATGACATATCTAGAAACTATTTATTACAAATGATAATTTTTTATATGCATATACTGAAATAATAATATAGAAATTCTATATTCCAGCACATTATACAGGGTGGTCCAAACTGTATTCCGGAAACTTCGGCAGCATATTCTGCAGATAAAAATAAGTAAAAAAGTTCATATAAATGTATGTCCTAAAATACTTAGTTTCGGAGATATAGGGTGTAGAAGTTTCATTTTTATTTCGATTTTTTGCAAATAATTTCTGAAGTAACGTCAATATTTGGATGAAAATTGGTGTCTGGGAGTTTTTTGACGCGAGAAATTTGATTTTGATGTCAATATGACTCCTATTTGTAGGGGGCGCCACCTACATGTGTTTTAATTGTTTTGAAGAGTAATAACTTTTCGTCCGTACCTGTATAAAGCCACTGAGTGAAAAAATATAAAGTAAACGCCACGAATGTTTGGGAGTGATTTATCGGTCGCTACCATGTGAACTAATCTGTTCAAGGTCACTTCTACACCTCGTATCTCCGAAACTAAGCATTTTAGGACATACATACGAACTTTTCACTTATTTTTATCTGAAGAATATTTATTTATTTATTTATTTATTTATACTCCTTACAAACACAATATCAATAATTGTAATTACATACAGAGTTGAACACACTTAAGCTTAACATTTACAAAAGAAAGAAAATAAACAGACATAAACAGATTTAAAAGACAACTAGTTAATAAATCAAAAAAATATAACATGAAGAGGAGATAGGAACGTTACTAAATTAAAACGCCCCCTCAAATAGGGTGGTTAAGGCCAATTTTATAATACCTAGATGTCTACAATCAAAGGGATCCACTAGATTATCACATTTACCTAGAAAGCTATTGCACTGGTCCAACATAATTCTAAATGGTGAACAATCTCCACACTCAGTACAAAAGGGTTTAACCTTATTCACTCTCAGTCTCACCTTAGGAACACATATGCTTATATAATTAATTTAGAATAAATCTTTATATTTAAGGTTGTTAGTTATACACAAAATAAATAAGATTGCCTGTCTTATTCTTCTACTTTCTAGTGACACAAATCCAAAAGTATATACAGTAAAGACTCGATAATCCGAAGAGCGCTAATTTGGATTCCTTGCTAGTCCGGATCGGCAGCGCACTTGCATTATGTACCTTGTAATCCGGATTTCGTATGATTCGGTAATCCGAATTTGTGATTCTAACTTGTCATAACGCGTTTTCTCGAAGCGGTAATTTATTTATATACGTAATAATTTGACGGCCGTGTTTTAACGTAGGTATCTAGTTCAGAATGGGGAAACGTAAACATATCACTTTGACGATAAAACAAAAAGGTAAAATATTAGATCAACTAAAAAATGGTGTTAGTGGTGAATTACTTGCCCAAAAGTATGGCGTTGGAACTTCTACTATTTCCCACATTAAGAAAAGTGATAACAAAATAAGGAGGTAAGATTTTTCAAAATATGTAAGTAGTTAAAGAGCCTTTTGATTATCATATCAATTTTTTTAGATTAATTGACTGATTTTTTGATTTATTAAACAACCTTTTTGTGACTTCGAACATGAAGTTATAGACGACGCCGACGAGACCAGCGATGAAGAAATCTATATCCAGTCAAAAAAAAATGAAGCACGTTGATGTAATAAAATATTTTACACTGGGATTGCAGTGGGCTGAAGAGAATGATCATAGTATTAACGATATTCTTGTTTTAAAAAATATTCAAGAGGAAGCTATAGTTAAGCATTCTTCAGTTAATGCACTTAAAAAACAAAGTAAAATCTCTGATTATTTTAAATAACGTAGTATGTATTTTATATTTTGGTATCTATAGGATGTATGTTCCTATTCACAACGAGTTTTGTTATAGAATATACTTATTCTTACTTAAATTATATTTGTTTAAGGTTTTGCTATTAGCGTTTTATTTTATTCGTTTTTTTTAATATATGTATGTGTATAAAAATGCAAATCGCGATAATCCGGATTTTTTATTAATCCGGATTAACCTGTGCTTTAATTGATCATTGATCCGGATTATCGAGTCTTTACTGTAAATAGGTTGCCGAAGTTTTCGGAATACAATTCGAACCACCCTGTATAAAACATAATTTCTGAAAAACGGTTATAAAAGGGACTTACCTAAATTTTATCCTACTATTAATATACGATGAAATTTTGTACTGATCCTCCAGAATTTCTGAGTCAAATGTCGGATCCCACCACGATTTTCTCGATGCTCGTTCGAAAGGTATGGGTAAGAACCTACCCCAACACCTGTAATCGTCGAAAATCCACCTTACATAACTTATTTACAACAAAAACAAATTACTTCACGCGGTCATCATACTAATACGCATTAATTTAGTGTTAGACATAATTAACATTGGTAGATATACCCTATAGAGCCGAAATAATATTTTAAATGAACCTATACATCCAAATACGAACGAAAATCGATTGATATATAATTACATACATGACCAAAATTATTGCGTATTTTTGATTTAAGGTATACGGAGAGATATTGAAAGAATTTAAAAAGAAACTAATTTTATACATAGTTATGTTAGTCTTTATGCAAAAAAATGCAACGCAACATTATTTCCTCAAGTTTAAAGTGTTATACTTTTTTTCATTAAGCCCTATTTTCATGATTTTTTAGCAAACTTTATACAGGGTGCTACAAATTCGAGGTACGAGCATTGGTATCTCGGAAACAGTAATAGATACGAAGATGGTTAAATTGGGGCAAAGGTGCGCCTTGGACTGTTCACCAAGATGTCATCAAAAAAGTCTTAAAAACTTTAAGGATTGCTCAGTTTTTTGGAAAAAACGGATTTTTCTGAAAACTAATTTTAATTTTTCCTGTCGTTACTTTTTAGAAAATCAAAAAACAAATTGTACATTCTCATAGCCACTTTATTAGGGTTATCTGATAGTATTTTTATATTTTTAAATTAGCTGATAATTTGTGAGATACAGAGGCCAACTTAATTTTTTTAAATACGGACCTGCATTTTTTATTTCAGATTTTGAAACAACTCAGTCTCCTGAGTACAATGATATGCCACACTTTATACTTTTGTTTTGTTTTGGGTACCTTAACAACAACAAAACTATTTAAATATTATTTAAAAAAATTTCAAGTCCGACTTTGTTTTTTAAATTATTTAATCTGATTATATTCATTGCATCAATATTGATCAGTGCTAATTAACATTAAATAAAGAAAATTGAGCCAATTGAAAGATTCAAATAAATAATATAAAGATCGGCAATTTAAAGATATTATTTTTAACTTTTCTTTGTGAATTTGAAATTCTCAGTGTGCGATCTAATAATTTGCATAATATTAATCGTAGTTATTATGAATAAATTAACTTCTACAAACTAGTTTCTAAAGCTTTACATAGTCTACATGTTCGAAAGGGTTACCACCCTCCCTATTGCACAGATTTATTTTTCATTCAATTTTATTTATAGCTTTTGAATAGAGAGGTGCCTAAAAGCAAAATGCGTTAAGTCCACTGATACAAGTTTTGAAAAAAGAGCAAAAAACTGTTGTCGCTACAAATTATTATATTAAAATTGAAACTTAGTTTAAAAATATTTTAAACCTGAAATATAATGTGGATTCAAGTGCACAACGTTGCCACTATATCCTAACAGCCCTTATTTAGATTTTAAAGACGGATTTTATCGGTTTTGCTTCTTAATTCTGGACTTTACAGGTTTTGCATATCAATCATATGGATTTTATTTGTTTCGATATAAAAACAATTTTTTTAAAGAATGAAATTAGAAATATTTATTTATAATAATTATCAAAACATTACAAAAGAAAATATTTAAACACATAACTCGGGAGCCTCTTCGGTCGGTCCACATAAATCCATTTCTAGTTCGGATTCCTGATGACCTTCGGCAAGACGTCCTTCACAAGAAGCGAAAAAATGCACGTAAAACTGCAGAGAAGGGTTTGAAGGCCACTCTGAACCGTAATGCAATTCTAGGAGCCTCTTTACGTCTGCTTTTTTTTTGGTGTTAACAGAAACATTTGTTTTTTGGAACAACTGATGGATTAATGGCCAAGACGTTTTTTTTTGCTCTTCATAAGCGATTTGAAATTTCCACAACTATGATAGTAAAACTCTTTCCCTTGAACTTTTTCTGCAGTACGCAAGACGTAAATAACAGAATAGCGCACATCTTCGTGTCTCGTCCCTTTTGTCACGCCACCGAGCATCCGAGCAAGCTTGTAATTGGTGACGCAGTGGACTTTACCTAGTTTGTTTTTAAAGCGCTAAGGACTTTATACGTTTTGCTCTAAGCCACGATTTCATGGACTTTTGCTTTTTTGATATTTATCGAATAGGTATCTGGTAGGCCGCTCCAAACATATGCGATTTTACTGACTAACTTATTTTTCACCAAAAGTGGACTTTACGCGTTTTGCTTTTAAGCCCCTCAGAGATCTTCTTTCGAATGCATTTTATACTCTTTATTGTAACTGCCGAGATATGTTGATTTCTCACTTTTTTTGTAAAATTTGGTGTCGAATTACTTGACGTCATCAGACGGTCCAGGTACCTCGCTGGCCATTATACTGCTCTACCATTTCAAATCCATCTTTCGGGGAAATGATTTGATTGTTTATATTACATTTTATTTATATTATTTTATTGCATTTGATTTTCCGTATTCAACCCACGTCACTTGTTTGAAAGCTTATCAATATTGTAACGATGAATATATTAAATATTAAAAACTCAGAACCGGACTTGAAATTAGTTTAAATAAATTGTGTCCAAATTTCCAAAACAAAAAAAAATATTAAGTGTGGCATATCATTGTACTCAGGAGGGCGAGTTCTTTCAAAATCTGAAATACAAAATGCAGGTCCGTATTTAACAAAATTATGTTGGCCTCTGTATCTCACAAATTATCGGCTGATTTGAAAATCTAAAAATACTATCAGATAGCCCTAATAAAGCAGCTATGAGAATGTGCAATTAGTTTTTTGATTTTCTAAAAAGTGTCGACAGGAAAAAAATAAAATTGATTTTTAAAAATATCCGTTTTTCCAAAAAAACTCCTTGAAATTTTTAAAACTTTTTTTGATGGCATCTTGGTGAACATCCCAAAACGCAACTTTGCCCCAATTTAACCATGTTCGTATCTATTACGGTTACCGAGTTACCAATGCTCGTACCTCGAATTTGTATAGTCTATAAAATGAATAACTTTGAATTTTGACCGTTATTTTTTACCAACATGGTAAATATAAAATCCCTCTGTTAAAAAAGTTACTAATATTCTTTAAATTGATTGTCTGAACGAATCAGATAGGTAACTCTTTTTACTATCGTGAAATAGAAAAGGAAAATAATAAAACAAGTGATGGTTCTTCCTCTTCTTGCAAAAATCAACACGAAATGTCATAATTGTCAAAAGTAAAATGTCATCAGCTTTTGACATTTCTAAATATCAGACCAATGCTGTCTCTAATAGAACAGCCACAGAGCGAGATTTATGACGTCACGCTCGCTAGTTAGATATTATGGATTAATAAATATGTTGTAGAATACATGGAAAACATAATTATTCCTCGTATTTTTGGTTTGTGTTTTAAAAATGATATAGTTTACATGAATTATACATAATATACAGTTAATAAATACAATATATACTTATTTATAGTAATAAATACTTTGGCAAATAAACTATAAACCATACAAATGCAGCAAATATTTTACAATATACAAATATTGAATAGGTACAGAGCGGGACAATGGGTAAAATGTAAAATATATTTTAAATTTTAGAGTTTCAAAATCGATCTAATTTAACAAAAAACATTCAATATCTACTAATAGTGATGTATTGTTTATTAATGTTCGAAAAACTATATTTGCAAATAATACAGTATCATAGAAAAAAGGCGTCAGCGATGGCTATGAAATAAAGATCGCTGTCATTTTATATGTATAATTATTCTAAAATTTTTTATTTTCTTGGGATTTAGGTTCGGGAAAAACGCTGACTAGGTAAGTTTTCATTTGGTTTTTCATTATTTTTATTTGGTTTAAAAAAACGTTTCGGCTAACATTATAGCATTCTTCAGTGATGTGTCATATGAAAAAAATAGTGTCGAATATAATCCAAAAAATTACATATAAAATATTCACACCACATAATGTTTATTGCAATTAATAAACTAATACAAACTTGTCAAAAGATGACCACATATTTTTAAAATTATTATTCTTAACACTAAAACTACCTACATTGACTATGGAGTACGATTTCAGCCATATTGTAAAACATTTGCTGCATTTGTATGGTTCATAGTTGATTTGCCAAAGTATTTATTACTAAAAATAGTATTGTATTTATTAACTGTATATTATGTATATTTCATGTAAACTATATCATTTTTAAAATACAAACCCAAAATACGAAGAATAATTATGTTTTCCATGTATTCTACAACATATTTATTAATATGTAGTATCTAACTAGCGTGACGTCATAAATCTTGCTCCGAAGCTGTTCTATTAGAGACGGCATTGCGTCAGCATGGCAGCAAGTTGCTAACCTAATAAAATTAACACTAGAAAAGCCCGCAGGAACTGTCAAATTCAAAGTTATTCGTTTCACAGACTATATATATGTATTACAGTAAAAGTTGGAAATCAGTGATTGCTAACAATTACTAGTAAAAGCTCACATTCACTGGTTTGCTAAGTCTTCGCCAGTAAAAGTCCGACAGCTATTTTTTAAACCAACTTTTATTAGTGAATGCTAACATTCCCTGGACGATAGCAGCGAATTTCAAAAAGGTTTCAAAGATTCAGTTAGCGCTTGGCGCGGTTGCCACATGTAAAATATAAGGGTTAATAAGGATAAGTTGAATAATAGGCAATATAAGGATATCATTAAATTGGGCTAAACGTTGGCAACGTTGACAGACATCGCGTAAATTCGCTTTGTTTATTGTGGTTATGTATATTTGTTTTGTTATCGTAAAAAGTGCTGTGCGTTATTTCCCCTACGGAAGAAATTTTCTGTGAAAATTTAAGGTAAATTAGGCATTCGCAAGAATGTAATAGTGCTTATTTTTAATTTTTGCAATATAATGAAGTCATAGCAAAAGTTAAGCGTGCAAGAGAAAACGATATTAAGGAACCTAGTGACTATGAACTTATTAAATGTTTTGAGATGCTTGAAGTAGCGGGTTTGAAAAAACGAGTAACTCCCTTTGAAGAAAATTCGGCCATACTTTATTTTGTCCACGATGAAGAACTTTATTAAAAAACATTGTAGAAATAAGTAATCTTACGTTTATGAATGTTTTTTTAATTGTTTTGTACGCCTTAAAATATTTACTGTTTTCCTTTTTAATATATAGAAGGTTATGTCGTTATTTTGTATAACTTTTAATAAATATACTAAAGAAGTAAATTGTAATTTTAGGATAAGTGGATCAGCTTGAATATTGAGGTAATCCAATATTCTTAAAAGTTTTATTTGTTCTACCTTCCACCAACATTCTTCCTCACCACACTCGCCTTGTACAGGGTGGACCATTTTGGTTGTTTCTCTAGGGTATCTAGGAAACCGTGAGAAATATTCAAATTTTGATACTGCAGTCTCGGGTTCTTTTTTTGAAAAAATTACAATGGCGCAAACGGACCGTGGCTATCTTGATCGGTTTCGAAGCTACAGGGAGATTCTCAAATTTTGTACTTTTTGAAGATGTTCGATAGTTTGTTTATTTCAGCAACCACGGAAAAATGAATTATACATTCTAAAGGCACTTTTCTGTGTAGAATGCAGTGGCGTAGTCAGACTTTTTTCGAAAAAAATATTTTTTGAGATATTAACTACAGTACGTCTGTCCGTTCTGTAGCTACGGGGTATCCGTGGGAGGGGAAGCGATATTCTCTCGATGTTCTACGTAAAAAATTAGACGACGCGTACCATCAATAAAAATTCCACAAATTTGGAAGTAGCCAATAAAATGAGTGGGCGGAGCGATTTGCGGTGACGTACTCGTCAAGTCGACGTATAAAATATATTGCTGTTTATTTAAATGTTTTTTGTCCGCATTCCTTTCATAGACACAGATCCAGCAGACGTACTTTATACTTGTGTTTTTTTAAATAGAACCCCTTGTATATTTTTAAAATTTCTTATTCCTTTTGGCATGAGCTTCTCGAAAATATATAATACTCTATATTTATTTTCACTATTAACCTCAAACATTTCAAATTTTTCTTAAAATGTCCACTTGTAGATAGTAGGCCGCGCCGAGTAACAAAGTAAACGGTTGTCCATCCTGTACAATAGAATATCTTTTACTGACAACCTTTAGTAAATGTTACTTTCACTATAATGAATGTTAGAAATTACTAGGAAAATTACAAGGAATCTTTTTAAAATACCACATTCACTGGTTCAATGCGTAATTGTTAGCATTTCCTAGTGAATGTTAGCAATCACTGAATTTCCGACTTTCACTGTAACATATAATATTTTGTAAAAAAAAGATAATGTACCTAGACAAAGTTTTTTTTTTATACAGAGTGGTCCATCAATAGCCGAAAATTATTTGCAAGTTCGAAGGTTGTTATATACAAGATGGAGCAAGAAATGTATGAATAATGTAATGATAAAATGTAATAAAATAAAATTATCACAATATAAAAATTAGTAATGCCAATCAAAATAGAAAATCTAGACCACTCCCAGATTATTTTTGTCACTTTCACAATACATTTCAGCGCAAAATTAACTTATATATTGCCACTAGGTACCCATAACTACTGTATTTTTAGATAGTCCCACCCTGTATATAGAATCCGAAAACATATGTAGTACCTATAATACCTACCCAGATTCCTGAGATATTTGTGCCAAGTACATTTGTAACTTCGGATCCAAGGACAAATGTACTTGTTCCTCGTCAATGACATCTGTGGGAGGGTCATCCTGTATACTTCCTTGTTTCAAATAAGTGACGGAATTTTTATGGCCCGATGACATCTTCATTCTAATCCTCCGATTACCTTCACGATACCATTCTAACCAAAAGAAAACCCGAAATCCTAGAAACAACATTAGAGATGTACAGGGTGGCTCGAATTCGACGCTCATTGGGATTTTGGAAACCTTAAGAGATACAGGATCGGTTAAATGGAGGCAAAGTTGCGCAATTTGATGCTCAATAAAATGCCATATTGCATTTTTATTTTCTATTCTTTTTTTTGCATAAAATATTCTGGTGATGGAATTTTCTGTACGAAACGTCGGCAAATATCAAAGTGACTATATACAGGGTGGTCCCAGGTTTTATTTCAATTTTTTCTAAATAATTTCTGAAGTAACGTCAATATTTGGATGAAAATTGGTGTCTGGGAGTTTTTTGACGTGAGAAATTTGATTTTAATGTCAATATGACTCCTACTAGTAGAGGGCGCCACCTACATGTGTTTTAACTGTTTTGAAGCGTAATAACTTTTTGTGTGTACCTGTATAAAACTACCGAGTGAAAAAATATACATCTCTGTGACTTTTTACGTAAAAAATATCTCTTTGTAAAAATCGCTACGATCAACCGTTCTTAAGATATTTAGAATGGAAATAGTCAATACATGTCATTATTGACGAAAAATAAACACGTTGAGTAGATAGTTATTTCACTGAAATAATAAATTTAGGAATTTTTTTTTTTAATTAATCATATTTTTTTCTGCAAAAAATGATGATAAAACAGTTTCTGTTGAACTTTTGGCACAAAAATATTTCAAAGTTATGGTTTCAGTCTAATAATTATTTAGTCAACATGTTTAATTAATGTCAATGATGATAGGTATTGATAATTTCGATTCCAAATCTCTCGAAAATCATTACCCGTAGCGATTTTTACCAAGAGGCCTTTTTTACGTAAAAAACGTCGTAAATGTATATTTTTTACTCAGAAGTTATATACAGGTACGGACAAAAAGTTATTACTCTTCAAACCGGTTAAAAAATATGTAGGTGGTATATGTAGGTAGCCCTCTACTAGTAGGAGCCATATTGACATCAAAATCAAATTCCTCATGTCAAAAAACTCCCAGACACCAATTTTCATTCAAATATTGACTTTACTTCAGAAATTATTTGGAAAAAATGGAAATAAAAATGAAACTTCTACACCCTGTATCTCCGAAACTAAGTATTTTAGGACATACATTTATACGAACTTTTTTACTTATTTTTATCTGCAGAATATGCTGCCGAAGTTTCCGGAACACAGTTCGGACCACCCTGTATAGTGTTTTAAGAGTGATGAAAGGATTTAATTAAATTGAAAAAAAAATCAGGTCCGTATTTAAGAAAATTAAGTTGGCATCTGTATCTCACAAATTATCAGCTAATTTGAAAATCCAAAAATACTGTCAGATAGCCCTAATGAAGTGGCTATGAGAATGTGCAATTAGTTTTTTGATTTTCTAAAAAGTAACGACAGGAAAAAATAAAATTGATTTTCAAAAAAAAAAAGTTTTTTCCAAATAACTCAGTAATACTTGAAATTTTTAAAACTTTTTTGATGGTATCTTGGTGAACATTTCAAAGCGCAACTTTGCCCCAATTTAACCATGTTCGTATCTATTACGGTTACCGCGATACCAATGCTCGTACCTCGAATTTGTAGCACCCTGTATATTGTGTTCTAGTGGACTGATTTTGACGACTTTTTAACCAATTTGTAGCTAAATTATTTGACTGTTTAGTATCTCTTTCTAAATTAAAAATGAAAGTTTCCATCTGTCAATTATACAAGGAAAAACAAAATGTTGATATTTTAGTGAAAGCTTAGTGATCACAATATAAAACTTTAAAATACATAAAAATTTTAATGTGCCCGTTTTTCGTACCGATGAGTGTATATTCTTTAAACTGTACTTTAACCTCAGACCAAAAACTTTAACTTTCACGTATTAATATCAAATACACTTCGGCGATATGATCGATATATTTTTAGAAAATATCGATATTGCTTGCACATCCCTAACAGTTCAATAACTATATTATATGCAAATATTTTATTTAACAGTTCAAATTCGATATTATATACCTATTACTTATAACAATTAGCACTTATTTGGACACGTCAATCATAAACTGGACAGCCAGTAAAACATGTTAAATTAATGTCTTAAAATTACTAGATATTATAATTTTATTTTATTATCATTACATATTAGGAGTGATTAATTATCACAGATTATTCTTTGATAGCTCTGAATATTATATATGCTTTGTACATATAGTTATTTTTTTAGCTTAAATACGTATGTATTTTTATAAATAATATTTACTTGGTGAAGAAACACCTTGTATAAATATATTTTCACTTAGGAAATCCTAAACATCACCGATAGAAATTAAAAATATGATATAAATTATAGTCCAAGGTGTCTGGATTAAATTTATATCCACTCGAGGATCCAAAAACTATTTTTAAAATATTTATATTAATGTAAATATGAACTGGTCAGATTTATTTATCAAATTTTTGGATACGAACCGTATAAATGTCAAATGATATGCCCTGTTCGCATTTTCAGTAATCAAAAAAAAAATAACTAAATGGAAAAAATATTCAAAAAAAAAATGTAAACAAGACATATTTTTACAAACTAAGTATTCTTCCTAATTAAGTAGGAAAAACATTAAAGAGTCTGAAATGATAAAATGAATTGATATAAATTTTAATTTAATTCGCTTTTCTCATACTGTTATATAGCTTATTATTTCTTAGTATTCTTTGAGAAAACGGTATTTAAATAATACACCTGTAAAGTAAATATAAATTTTGTGATAAATTCCTTATCTATTTAATTTCAAACGTACATGTAGTTAAATGATATCAAAATTCATTTTGCCATACAATTAACAAAAACTAGCCAATTCCAATAAAGTACGAACTATGTCATTAATCATTATATCAAGTAATTACGAAAAAAGAATAATTAATAATTTATATGGACGAATTCAAAGGGTAATGATATAAAACAGTACTTACCTTTGGAGGACGAGTATTCAAAGGTTGCTGAATGATATTAGAAATATTTAAATACCTTTCACGCATTCAGAAACAAATCGGAAACACCTTTGCTACACCAGGACTTCATATAATAATGCAGAAACATGTTTGTAATCCGAATCAAAATTCGCTGAGCTTAATGTCAACAAATGGTATCATTAAATTTTTAAAAATTGTCATGCCAATTTAATTCGTTAGACAGAATTCGAAGAGTGACCGCGATCTCGATAACGCTTTGATTCAATTTGAGGCCTCAGGTGTAAATTGATAAATACATATGGGGTTGAGATAGACCGTTTTTATAAACACAACACACGATTTTTCTTGTGATTGACGATTTTCACTTTCAAAGCGCAAAATTTGTTTGACGTTTATCAATCCGACTGACAGTACGAGAGAAATAGAAATTTTTTCAGGGTTGTCGCAGCTATAATTTTATGTACAATGTTTAGTACAAATTTCTACTTGTTTTACTGGTTGCCTGCTTTAACAAATATATCAAAATTATCGGACAGCGTTCTAAATAAGCTGGCTCGTTTTGTAATCTTTGTATTATTCGTTATTCGAAACATATTCATTAGTATATTCTGTGATCATATTATACTACAAATAATTACTCTATTATCTTTGCTACAAACTTTTTTTATTTTACTTGTTACACTGTTCGTTTATAACTGCAGCGATAACTTCGATTTCCACGCTGGCTCCCATAGGAAGCTTTCCTACTTGATATGTTGATCTAGCCGGGAAATTCTTAAGAAAAACTGAAATAAAATATAGAACTACATAGAACAAAGATCCATAACTGTCTGAATTACACTCACATTCTTTGTAGACATCGTTGACACAGGCAAAATCGTTAATATCGTTGAGCATTATGTTGCATTTGATCACTTGCTCGTAGGATGAACCAGCAGCTTCCAAGATACATCCTATCGATTCTAGGGCTTTTTTGGCTTCAGCTCCGACCCCTCCAGCCACTAATTTCAAGTGTTCATCCACTCCCAAAACTCCAGACAAAAAAACAGTGTTATTAAAGGACACAGCTTGACTAAAAGTTGTATTCCAGTTAACTACTTATTTTTGTAAAACTTTTACTTACTTGTATGGGGATCCTTTGGCTGGCCTAGGTGCTTTAGCAGTTGAAATAACTTTCCTAATCAAAGAAGAAGCCATTTCTTGTGTATCGTATAAGCTGGTTACAGTAAATGCTTTGATCAGAGTGCAAAGTATTATGTTTATATTTACTGGGATATTACAACATTCAATTATTATCAGCTTGGGCGAATATTTATCAAAATTTAAAAAACTATTTAAAGAGATTTTGAATAGAAAACCATTCCCCCCCAGAAATGACAATATAATAATTAATGACAGTACTTTCTTTATTATTTGACACATGAATAAAAAAGTCTGAGAATATAATAATGCCAGTAGGTACTGTCTTTAAAATAAATATTATTTGACACATAAAAAAGTCCGAAAATATATTTATAAATAATATATTACATATTGATCAGCTTACACAAGCATGGCACTTATTAACTATTTTTATTTATGTTCAACATAAAATAAAGCTTATAAAAAGTTATATATCTAAATAAATGCAAATACCTAGAATATAACTCAGATTCGATAGAATCAGATCTCTAATTGTCCTGAGTCAGTCTTTGTTAGTGCGAAAAATACCCAAAAATCTTCTATTGCACAGTATACCTATATAATACCTCACAGAGTTTAGGAAAATATTAAAAAAAAGGCAGTAAAAATCACTAAAACTTATGTGTTAAAACTAACTAAAAATATGTTAAAAACTATAAAAAAGGTGTAATTTAATTTTAGGTCCCTAAAAATACCCCGTATGAGAGAAAAAAGGGCGTCAACTTGGCTTTGAAATTCCCTATAGTTTCGCTTTTAAAATGACAATCCTCATTACTAACTCAAATTTGACGTACTTTTTTTATTAAATGGTGCACTTCCAATTCAAGATTATACAATAAAATAAAATCTAATTTTTAAGTATAATTTTTCTTCGTATATTAAAGAAAAAAATGCAATTTTAGTACATTTTTCTGAATATTTTTAACTTATATTTAATATTAGAAAAAAAGTCCTAATTTTTCTTATTAATATTTTATACAAAGTTACCCAGTGGCTGCTATCTGAATCTTATATCAAAAATTAATAACTAAACACCACATTATATTATTAATTTTCCTCTTTCAGAAAACTGAGCCAACCCCTTGTATAAAATATTTTATTCTATAAAAAAAATCAATTTTTATGGACCTAAAAAGAGAAAAATTTAAAATTCATCGTGTCTCGCTAAAGCTTGACCGAAATCGGTCGCTTGAGACCCTACAAACAAATCATACTTGTTCAACACTTCTTCTTTGGTAAGTTGCTCGTCAGAATCCGAGTCTGCTTCGTATATAAGATGCTTAGCTTCTGCTTCAGCATGATCAAAATCATCAGGTAGAATCCACTGTTTAATTTCATCTTCTTCCATATACCCATTTCCATCTTTGTCACGGTACAAAGTAAACTGCTCCCTCTCACTCTTAACCCAGTCAGGTTCCTCCTCACCCTCCTCACTACGGTACAAGTCACCTATATATTCTTCGATAGAAACCTTCCCGTCATCATCTTTATCAATATCTTCTAGAGTTTCCTGGATGACTACACTCTTCATGTGTTCTACTTCTTCGGGATGTAAAAACGCAGCAAAGTCTTCTTTGGTTAGGTTATCGTCACCATCCTGGTCAGCTACTGTCCATCTTCTACGGTCCCGTTTCATCATGGATCGATAAGTTTTTTCCTCGTTACTGTCGCCCACAGCACCGTGATCCAGGAATCCATAAACCAGGTTTTTGTAGTTTTCCCAGGATATTGTGGGTTTGTCGTCGGGATTTTGTTCTTTCCAAACTCTATCGACGTCCTCAGTAATGTATCTCTTCTGGGTAAATCTGATCCAATCTTTAAGTTCTATGAGTGATACAAATCCATCCTTGTCTGTATCAATCTTTTCATAAATAATTCTACAAAAAAAAAACAGATAAAAACAGCCTTATTTATAACCATTAAGCCTTAAAACACTTACCCTAAACGTCTTTTACTTTCTTCTGGTGGTAAATTATCAAAAGCTTTTGCATCTTCACCTAAAAATGCCTGATGGTCATACTCTGGATTATGATGTTCATTTTCGAAATGCTCTTTATCGCTTGGTTCTCTATCATAAACCCGGTCCTTGTGATTTTCCTCTTTTGGAAGAGCATTTGCTAGTATCAAAAATGTAGACAAACATAAACAGCACACTTTGGACATTGTTAAATCCAAAAAAGATCCTGGAGAATGAAAATACTGATGATGTAAACAGAATAAATCGTGGACAAATTTAATTGGCTGCCAGAGTTCTTTAATAGTTAAATCAGGAAGCGCATTATCTTTGGTGAAGCAATAAAATATTCGGTAAACTAACCTACTTACTAAAAAAAGCCAATAAAAATGATGGAAAACACGATTTTATTTCTTGGAAAATGATGTGCCAACTAACTAACTTCTATATTTTAATAATAATTTTCTTTCTGAAAGCTTATTCACATTCAAAAACTGGCAAAATCAACAAAAACTGCACACAAAATTAATTCATTCGCTCTTGTTTTGAAATCACTTTGAAATGTACTAGTCGAAACGTCAGATTTGACATTCTAATTCAATATTGTACTATAATATTGTACTAATTAAGGTTGGGTATTAAAAGTTTGCTTTTCTTTTGGCACACTATGAAAATTTTAGACAACCAATGAATCTTTTGGGAGAATTGTGGAAATGAAATAAAATTTGAAAAATATTCAAATGCAACATTAAATTTATTTATTTACAGTTTGGAAACAACGAAATACTGAAGTAAAAGAGACCATCGTCTTAATATATATTTTACATACATTACTATCCTTTAATAACATTAACAAATTAAAAAAAAAAAAAACAATAAAAATGATGCGAATATAAATAACATTTAAGGAATAGCTCACAATTTTACATTTTTACCATAGGAAATCTTTTCAGTGTTCTTTCGATAAATAGAAATAAGTACTATATATATATATATAAATATATTTAGAAAAATACTTTAACAGGAACGATTCAAGTAGTACCGATATGTATAAAAAGCTATATTTTTATATAGTAGACGAACATAAAATCATAAATATACCTAATTAGCCAAAATATATTTTGAGCTAAAATAATATAGTAAAGTTTAATATTCCAACAAAAGAAATTTTCGGTTTATCTTTATATATTACAGAGTATTTAATATATACAGTGCGATACATTTCTAATGTATCTATACGTAGGAAAGATTTTAAAATCTTGATACAAACTTTAAAAAAAAAATATTTTTATTCAGATAAATTAATAAGTCCAGAACGATGATAAAAATGCCATTGTTCCAATAAATTTTTCCAATATGACGAATCACAGTATCTGTCAAAGCAATCAAAATTAGTAATACTTTTAAACAAATTTAAGTCCAGTTGGCTTAGAAATGACAATCGATGACATTCCCCATATAATTTCACATGCCAAATGACAGCGATCTTCATTTCATAGCCATCGCTGACGACTTTTTTTCAATCATACAATATTTTCTGTTTGAACCTGTCAAATGTTACATACATAAGAAATAGTTCCGTGAGAAGAACTATATATTTTTTATTGGACATTTTTTTATTTATTTTTGCAGTTTTTGGTCATGTCAACGGGAGGCTCTGGCAAATATTCAGACGATTTCTTCAACAGAATCTGTCATCCTCGGCTTGTAGCTCAGTTGGGAAGGTCTAAAGTTGTAGAATCTGGACTACCATATCCGCTGCTTGTGTCTGATAATGGTAGGCTGCTAGTGGGCGGCTGCTGTCGCCCTCCCAAAGTCTTCTCGCTGCAACAGGAACCGGAACTTAGCGAGGAACAGCAAAAAGGGCGGTCTATAGCCGCCCCCTGAAAGATAACGATCTAAGAGGGTTAAATATAGAAAATCTAAGAAAAAATCGTTTTAAATAACTGGATTTTGAAAAAAAGAGAAGTTTGAGAAAATCTGTATCTACTATCTACTATACAGGATGAGTCTTAAATAAGTGAAAATATTTTCAGGGCTGGTAGATCTCGATAACAGAAACATATTTTCTGTTTACCGTTTTTCAAATAAATCCAAAATAACTGAGATATTTTACTTTTAAGATTTAAAAAAAATATTTTTTTGCTGAAATTTTGAGAACCAATGGATCTTTTATTCTCGCTTTTTTTTTCTTGTAAATTTAATCTACTACCGATGTTAACATGTTATCAAGAAATTATGATTTTTAACTAAAAAAAATCAAAAATTGGAAATTTTCAATTTTTCTTTTCGTGAAAAAAAACTCATAATGCTGTTTCTAGGGTCGAAAAATATTTGAACTTATTTAAGACTTACCCTGTATAGGTAAACTATTGTATAATAATATCAAAGATTTGGTAATGCTACTACTTTGGTTACTATACATTGTTTTATAATAGTTCTCGATGGTACTACCTGTAAATTGCTAACTTGTCTTCGTATGTGCGCTAAACTGCTAGGATTGTACGCCATATTGGCGAAAACCAGTCTTTCCTCGTAGTCGTACTCGCAAAGGATTTTGTTCTCGCAAAGGTAGAATCTATCACCAACGCAGAACCTAAAAAAATATTTTGTTTTGAAATACATATAACATACGATAAAAAATAGCGTCACAGTAGCCATTGAAACGACACTTATTGATGACAACTATACGCCGTTTTTTTCGATCATACGATATACGATACAAATATGTAACTCTTTTTTGGTAGTTCTGTGCTAGGGGTGTCTCACTTGGGTAAAAAATGTATTTGTACTCCCAAAATATCATTTTATTGCCAAGCGACTGCCAGAGACTGCGAAGAAAACTGCCAATGACTGCCAGCGACTGATGCCAAGAAAATGTATATGTAATTCCAATATTGATAGACACCCCTCATATATATGTGGTTACCTCATTGTTTTTTAGTGAATATGTAGGTTATTGGTACAGGGTGTCCCATTTTGGTTGAAATCATACGGTATCTCCACTATTAGAGAAAAGAGAAGGATGCGGTTTGAACAAACATCTCCCACTTTGAGCTACAGGGTCTTTTTGAAACAGGGTACTCTGTACAACCAAGCTAAGTAAATATTCTCTACAACTAAAGTTATGTTTTCTTAAATAGCACCCTGTGTATTAAAAAATCACTTGATCCGGCTTGCCTATAAATACGAGCTTCTCTAAAATATACAACACCTTATATTTATGTTTACCAGATTTTTTTTTCTGGTAGAGGATTTCCGTTCGACAAAAAAGTGGGACAGGTTTGTACAATTCTTCACTAATAATGGAAATACCGTATGATTTCATCCAAAATGGGACACTCTGTATATACTACTACGAGTGGGCTTAAACATACCTATGATTGCACTGTTGACACGCAAAACACTCCAAGTGATACACGTTGTTTTTCGCGCGCATTACCATTTCGAAGGCTGGAATCACTTTGTTACACGCTGCGCAATATCCAGTTGTTCCAAATAACCTTAAATTAAAAAAAATAATAATTTTTTAAGATCGGTCAAAATCAAAAGTTGTTGGCATTAATTCATGGTAGGTATATTATCAAGATACCATCTCTTTAAACTTACCTGAGGTAGTCTCTTTTGCACAGTATGAGATTGGCTTTGGTGTAGAGCGTAGAACCCACTTCCCCTAATCTACAGTCGCAACAACCGCACTTGAGACAGTCCTCGTGCCAGAATAGGTCGATGGCCTTGAGCAGGAAGCGCTCGGTGATGCGCTTGCCGCACGATGCGCAGTCTTTGGCCGGCGCAGCACTGCCGGAGCATGCGCCGTTGGTCGCTGTGGAAACCGGGACCGGGGAAGGCCCGGAAACAGTGAGACCTGCCGCTCTGACCGTCACTCCGGGATGATCCACTCTGGATTCTGAAACAGGAAGTGAATAGTCAGAAATTATTAACTGGCTAGTACTTTTTGATATTGTCCATTTACGGTAGTATTTTTATCAATCAAAAATAATAGTTATACCTAGAGCTGCCAACTTTGGACGACGCGAGTGAAAAAAAAACGTGGCAGGTGAAAAAATGTTTAAACCTCGCTCAAATGTCAAGTAAATTTACTCAAAAGTTATGTAAACGTTATAGCACCGTACACCTTTTTATATATAAAGTTATATTATTTTTATATATAAAGTTATTATTATAATAACTTCAACTTTTGATTTTTAAATGGCAGTTTCGGTATTTTTTTTACTTTATTCGATAGAAAATGACACTCTGAATATAATGACATATCATATTTTTGCTTGAAACAAAATTGCATTTTAAATTTCAATCTAGAGTACCTACCGTGGCTGTGTTAAAAACACTAATTTTTAATCAAGTCTTGGAACAATAGATTTGATCGTCTAATGTTTTTCGTGTTTTGTCCTGGCGGGTTAAAAGATGCCCAAATCGTATTTTTAATCATATCTCAATTTTTTCAAATGGAACGAGGATGGCTCGCTAGCATATTTGGAAAAAGCATTTTTTACGAATAATTTGGTACCACACACTTGGTATTTCGAGTCAAATTGTCGTTACGAATCGTATGTTGCCATTTCAAATAAACCATATTCGAAAATGTCAAAATTGACATATGATATGTCATTCTATTCAGAGCTTTTCAGAGTGTCATTTTCTATCGAATAAAGTAACAAAATACCAATGACTAAAGAATCCAAGGACAAATAACACCCGAGAGCAAATTTTGACGATGTCACCCAACAGTGCCGTAGCACATATTTTTCTTAACCTAGCTGTTTGAAGCAATATTTCTATTTTTTGATAATTGTTTTGACTACGCCTATGGTGTATCATCCTAATTAATTACGAAAAAAACGTATTAAAATGTTAACAAGAGGTACAAAACTAGTATCGACGTATAGCACATATCAAGTAGATATGTCATATAGACGTTAATTGAAATTGAAGAATAATTATCGAATTCAATAAGAAAACGCTAAAAAGTTAGAGTGAACTGTTTATTTACCTATGAAACGTAACTCCTGGCTCTTTCTTATCGCTGCTGCTTTTACACTTGAAAGCTGAACAACTAAGTAACACTAGCTGAACACACAAACTATTAAAAATCGCTAAAATTGTCGCTGGTGACCAAATGATGACTCATTGTTTGCCACCAAAAGAAAGGTCTCTAAGGTCACAAATTCTGCTGCAGCCCGTATAGGGGCGTTACATGTCCTTATATTCTTTAGTCATTGCAAAATACCGAGGGTGCCATTTAAAAATCAAAAGTTGTAGTCGTTTCCGGTAATTGTTTTCGGGCACTTCCTGTTTAAGTGACCGAAAACAATCGAAAAAAAATATTTAGAAATGAATGGAGATTTTGAAGACAATTTTTATTTTAAGAGTCAGTGGTTTCGTACTTTTGCTCCAAAAATATTCAATATAAAACTCGTATGGACGGCACTGGTGGAAATAAATAAAATTATTTATACACAAAAAAAGGTATTTTGATGCATAGAAGACGTGTATTATGTTTCATAAAGATATCTATAATAAAATCAGCGTTATTGTGAAAATTTTTTTTTTTTGAAAATTTTACTACCTTGTGTATCTCAGAAATTAAGATGTTTAGGACATAAATATATTCATATAAAGTTTTTCGCTTAAAATAGGACCAAGAATCACCCCCATAAATATTAGCATGTCATTACATACATACATACACTGCCATTACACTCTGACGAGTATTTGACACGCATCAAAAGATGTTCACGCAAGGCGTTTTCTTTCATGAGCTTTTCTGTGACTGAAAAGCCGGATACGTGATTTTATTTGCCTACCGCACTTCGGACATTCAAAAATCTTATTGCTCTGTTTTTTTTTTTTTTTTTTTTTTTTTTTTTTTTGGAGGTGTAAAATACCTTTACGTACGGAGTGTGGGACTCAATCTCTCCTTAAGCTGCCTGGAGGACACTACCCACTAAACGTCACCCCCTTGCTCCTGCCACGTCTACCTGGACCCGCTGGACGCATCTCCTCAAGTAGCGCCAGACCTTTTTTGTCATTACCCCTGCTCTTCGCTGTATTTTGCCTCTAGTATATTTTGGGCCAGTTTTGAGATGGCTTCAAAGTTTTCTCTTCTTTCTGTTACCGATTTTAAGAAGGTATCTGCGGAGATGTTGCCACCAATCGTCATGCGTGCCTCACATCTTTCCTGTTCCCATCTTGGACAAGCAAACATTGTGTGTTCTGGAGTATCATTGGGTTCAGCACAGTATCGGCATTCCGCGACTTCCCCCTTTCCAATTTTACACAGGTAACTCCCAAAATTTCCGTGGCCACTCAATATTTGAGTAAGATAGAAGTTTACCTCTCCATGCTTTCTTTTAATCCACATATTTATATTTGGGATGAGCTTATATGTCCATCTTATCTGTCCTTTTTGTGATACTTCCCATTCTGCCTGCCACTGCTGCACTGTGCGGTTTCTCTCCATCTCTCTGCTTGCCCTGGTTTGTACTTCACCCTTGAGAAAGAGTCGTTCTCTTTCTCTTGAGAGAAGATGCAAGGGCACCTGACCCGATATCACCAAGGCTGCCTCAGTTGAAGTAGTCCGATACGCCGAGCAGACCCTCAAAGCCATGACTCTCTGTGCACCTTCAAGTCTTTTTTTATTTACGTGCATATTGGTTGCTTCGTTCCACACAGGTGCTCCATACATAATAATATTCTGGCACGCATATGCTAACACTCTTCTCTTTGCTGGTGTTGGGCCCCGAACGTTTGGCAGTATTGCGGACAACGCTTTAGCAGTTCGTTGTGATTTCAGACACACCTCCTTGATGTGCAGGCCCATCGTGAGTGCACGGTCTATGTGGAATCCAAGATAGTTGACTTGCTTTACTGGATTTATTATTATATCCTTAAAATTAAACCTTATATGGTCAACTTTTCTCTTGCGGCTCAGTAAAATCGCCTCTGTTTTTTCCAAAGCTATTTCGAGTCTGCTCACGCATCCATCTGGCTATGATCTTTAGTGTATCATCCACAGTCTTCATTAGGTCGAGGTCGTTTATTTTTTTGTTTCTTTTAGTTTTTTTTTGTTATTATCACATTTTTTTTGTTATGATCATCGGCGTAAGAGATCAACTCTGTCCCACCTGGTACAGTAAGCTCCATGACACTGTCGTATAATATGTTCCACAGAGTTGGCCCCAGCACCGAGCCCTGTGGGACGCCACCGAATACCTCTCTTTCATCTTCTCTATTGAGAACTATAAATCTATTATCAAGATGGCTTCTTATTATGTTCACCAAATAGCCACTTATGCCCCATCTCCTAAGTTCTTTAATAATTATTTCCCATGACGCGCAATTAAATGCATTTTTAACGTCGACTAAAATCAAAGCATTATGCCAAGTGGCTTTTCTTTTCACGATATCCGATATTTTCTTCATTGCATATGTGGTAGATTTCCCCTTTACAAATCTATACTGGTTTGGATGCATACCATTTCGTTTCTTCCTAATTTCTTCCAAGAGTCGCGTATTGATGAGTTTCTCATAGACTTTCCCGATTACATCAATGAGGCAAATCGGACGATATTTTGGTGGATCATTTAGGTGCTTCCGGGGTTTCTCTATTAGGGTTAATTTAGATCTCTTCCATTCTTTAGGGAATTCATTTCTCTGAAGAAAGTTATTGAAAAATGTTCTAAAATAATTGCTCTGTTGCCTCTTTACTTTTTGGTTGTCGCTGTTAACTAAGTTTACAATTCTTCTCCTTTGAGTTCTATTGTGAACTGCTTCTTCCCAGTAATTCTGCATGTTAATCCCCTTTAAGTTTAAGGAAAATGTCCTTGTACCTTTTGAGTTGTCCACCCGGCCTCCTCTTACCGTCTACAAGCTCACCGTAAAGCTGAGATTTTGGTATGCGGTTTTCTTGCATTCTGCATACGTGACCAGCCCATCTAAAGCGGGATTTTGTAACCATGACTTCAATACTCTCGCAGTTAGCTTTTTCAAAAACTGATACGTTTGAGACATGATGAAACCACCGGATTCTTAAGAGTTGTCTAAGGTGTCTCTGTTGCAACTTGTTTAATGCGTTTATGTGCTGGCGCGGAGGTACGGCACCCAGGTTTCGCTCCCATATAACATGGTGGGGATTATATGGTAGGTACACTGCAAGTTTCGTTTTTGTACTCAAGTCATGATTGTGGAAAACCCTGTCTTTTAATTTCCAGAATGCTCTTGAGGCGCTGCTGTTATTAAGGGACACCCTGTAGGTATCCATACAGTTAAACAAAATCATTATAATGAACTAAAATGACTTTTTAAAAACTTCCTCTTTTCCTAGAAAATGCATTATTTTCTCTCCGCTCTCGCAGTATTCATTTACATAATGGAACAACAACAAATGTATTTTGTATTAACTGCGCAGATTTAATGGTGCCGTAGACGACGCCATCTCAGGGCTTTGTGGAGGGGATTGGGAGTGGGGAGAGATAGTCATTACACAGTCATGACATCTGCAGCCAATTTGGGCAAAGTGCTTTTTATCCGATCCAGGCTTTCCAGGATTATCGAGGCCACAGAAACTACTTCCCGACCGATCCTTGATTGAATTTCAATATTAAAAGCTAGTTTTCTCGATCTTATCACCGATCCAATCATTTCAATCTCTAATAACTTGTAGTAGGGATGGACGAAATTACCTATCGATATAGCAAAATAACGATACTTTTTAAAATATTTATCGATATTTATTTCATACAATTTATTTAATATAAAATAAATTTATTACAGTGACAGAGTCAACGATATGTGTTATGATATTCAAAAAAGACTCTCTTGGTCTTGGTATTAGTTTTGAAGGACTAAGGACCATTATTACCGCTTTCCCGTTCAAAATATTCTAAT